CCCCAAAACCCCAAAACCCCAAAACCCCAAAACCCCTTTAGTTGTAGCTGTAGTAAAAAAGAAACTTTAAAACTATTAGATATTTTACAAGATAAAATAAATGCTTATAATAATCATTTCTTGAACTTCTTTTTTATTCTGTCCTTACCGTATCTTTTGTGCAATATTCCCTCTGGATTTTCCTTCTTATCTTTCAAATATTACTTGAATGAGTTCTCGTCATGGTAAAGCATGATTTCTTCGTATATTAAGTCTTGATAGTCCTCTTTCTTGAGGCTGTATATTTCAAAGTCGAAATCGAAAGCACTGACTAGCTCTGTAGTTGGCTCATCGTCAGGGAAATGTAATTAGCTCATGTAGGGATGCTCTAAAGCCTAATCTACAGTGATTCTTCTTGCTGGGTCAAAGGTGAGCATTTTTTTGATAAGATCGATGGCATCACCATTAGCACCCTTAAAGATTGTAGGGAAATCCTTAGGCTTCCTCTTGGGCAAACTTTGAATGAATTCTTTATTTTTAAGGATGGTAATTTACTCTACCAAATCTTCTTACGGGTTTCCGATCAAATCCGTGATCATCTAAATCTATTCCTCCTCTGAGTTAGCTGGTAATAGAGGCTTTCTTGTGATTAACTCAGCAAGAATACATCCAACAGACCAAACGTCTATGGCTGTAGAATAGCGCTTCCAAGACAAAATAACTTCTGGAGCTCTGTACCATCTAGTGGCTATATAGTCAGTCATAACTGCTGATTATGTTTAGAAATATGGAATATCGGCTCTTGCCAAACCAAAATCACAAATTTTTAAATCGCAATTACTGTTCACCAAAAGGTTCCTTGGCTTAAGATCTCTATGTAGAATACCTGCTGAGTGGATATATTTAAGTCCTCTCAAGATTTAGTACATAAAGAACTGAATGTGATCATCGGAGAGCGGCTAATTAGATTTGATGATCTATGCAAGGTCTGTCTCCATAAGCTCATTTACAACATAAATTTCCTTGAAGCTCTCTCTTGAGGTGGGTTTTAGAATGGTTTTGACTCCAATAACGTTATCATGTTGAAGTAATCTCATAATTTTGAGCTCTCTTAATGTACGCTGAGCAAATACCTTATGCTCAAAAGCTTTTTCTATTTTTTTAATTGCAACTAAGTTATTCTCTTGATCCTCGGCTTATAAATCCTTAGCAGCAACGACAACTCCGTATGCACCAGACCCCACAGGATCAATGATTTCATACCGCTTGTCTACCTCAAACTTAGAACCCAACACCATGTAAACGTTGTTGTCTCCAGTGGAAGGTTTCTTTTCAACCTCATCCTGATTTTTCTTCATTTTTATTGTCTATTTCTATTATATTATACTAATGATACTCAAATATCATCTATCATGTTATTTTTCATTTCGGGGTTTTGGGGTTTTGGGGTTTTGGGGTTTTGGGGACCACTGCTTTGAGCTAGACCTTCAATGTA